TATGGACCACAAGCGCCTGCAGAGAGTGGTAAAGACTGTGGAGAAGATCATCAGGACTCCACTGCCCTCTCTGCAGAGCATTTACCACCACAGAGTCTGAAGAAAAGCTGTCTCCATTCTCCCCCACTCACCCCCAGCATGGGCTGTTCACATCCCTGCCATCTGGCCAGAGGTTCAGAAGTATGAAATGCAGGACTTCTAGACTGAAAAACTCTTTCTTTCCAACTGCCATTAGACTCCTAAACAGCTGAAGGAGTTTATAATCAGAACTTACTTCATGTAATTCCACCTGTACTGTTTACATTCCAAGTTTGCACATGCATAATTGCACACTCACTGCCGCCTATTGCACATCCAGCTCTGATGTAGCATAATTTGTCTCCACTTGCTGTTTTTTAAGTGCCTTTATTTTTTGGGTACTATTTATCTACTTATTCTATTTGTTATATTTTTTTACTACATTTGATTCCACTTACTGTTTTTTTTATTGCCTTTAGACTTTGTGTACTATTTATCTACCTTATATTTCACCTTGCATTGTTTGGCATTCATTGTGGACAGCAAAGTAAGAATTTCATTGTACAGGGAAACACGGTTCCTCACTGTGCACATGACAATAAACACCTTCAGTCTTTAGTCTTTGAGACTTGAAGTTGATGGCATTGTGGGTGCAGGTTGAGTGAGGCTCGCAGAGGACTTTGCAGATCATGTTTTTTTAAAGACCTTGAGGAATCTTTTCTTCATGGATGTTTTCTTTGTTTTTTTCTGAACCTCGTCAATCTGATTTTCCAAATTGTTTAGTCTTCCCATAAGTTGCATTCTGTCCTTCTTTCGCAACCATGGTCGTGGTCTTGGTTCTGATAGACTCCAGGAGGCCACACCTTTCCTAATTCCACTTGAGTTGTTCACTGTCCATATTTTCCTGTACTTGGATTAATGCAGCCTTGAGGCTGGAGATTGCCTGTGTGTGTTCAGTAAGGAGATGGGACTTCTCAGCCTCCCACCGGTATCTGTTGTTTTCCAGCTCCTGTGTCAATGTTCCCTTCAGACTAGAGGCTGCCTCAATGTGCTGAGCCAGAAGATAGGACTTCTGCTCCTCACACTGGGATTTTTCTTTCACCAGATAATTTTTCATCTTAGATTAGTGTTGCCTTCAGGCTGCTTGATGTCTCCATGTGCAGCATAAGGAGGCAAGACCTCTCTTCCCCCCACTGGCATTTTTGATTCTCCAGGTCTTGGGTCAGTGTTGCCGTCAGTTTAGAAGTTACCTCTGTGTGCTCAGTCAGGAGATGAGATGTCTCCTCCTCCCATATGATTCTTTGATTTTCCAGATTTGTTTTCACCTGGATCAAATCTGCCTTCAGGTTGGAGATTGCCTTAGTGTGCTGAGATTTCTGGCTTTTTAGATCCTGTTCCTCTTTCAAGTCCATGGACTTTTTCATGGTCCCGATGAACTCCAGGAGGCAGGACTTTTTGTG